TGTGTGGGTGCACGCCAGGCAGACCCCCCCTTGCCCTGGAGCCTTTGATGTAATTAGCTGGTGGGCCCCCCAAGGTCCCCTTCCCCCAAAATCCCTAGCTACGGGGCTGGATTCGCCTCCCGACCTGTTGTTCAACTGCTACAGGCTTATAAATCCTTTCTGCTCTCGGCTGGCTCTCTTCACTCTGCTCACCTGGTCCTTCCTGACCGTGACCCTGGTAGGCATCTAGTGGAAGGTCATGCTCATCAGTGCTGTGCTGGTGGGGATCTTTTAAAATAAGTCTTGGTGATGGTGTGGGGATCAATGTTCCCTCTAAGCTGAGTTAGAAGATGATGAAGAAGAAGAGATTGGATTCATACCCCGCCCTTCACTTGGGAGTCCTGCTCCCCACCCTGGTGCTGCTGACAGCCGGTGATGTGAGGTACAGAAACACACGGTCTTCTTGACAAGCGTTGTGTTATTCTTGGTGTTCCCAAGAAGTGAGAAGACAGACATGGACCAGCGATGCTTGGAACTGCCCTGAGCTTGACATTTGTTGGTTAGACCTCTACTAAAACATGCGGTGGCACATTCAGCCTGGACTGTAACCAGTGTTCCTTCTAAGCTGAGCTAGTGTGAGCTGGCTCAGTTTTTTTAACCTCTGGCTCACACATTTCTGCTTAGCTCAGGAAGGGATGGCTCCCGAGCAGACTGATTTTATGCAGCAGCCCAATCGCTGGCTCACAACTTTAATGCCAGTAGCTCACAAAGTAGAATTTTTGCTCACAAGACTCCACAGCTTAGAGGGAGCATTGGTGGGGATCTGAACAGGGAGGGCTAAGAGATAAAAGCCAGCAATAAGTCTTTGTGACGGTGTGCTTGTCTGTTTCTGCTATGGAGAATTTAGTAACTTATCAGCTCAAGGACACTTTGAGACTTCGAAGGGTCCTGCAGCATGTATGGGGGTAAGAGCTCTGGACAGAGCAGCTGTATTTATCCCCCTGTATTGAACTTAGTGACTTGTCAGCTCAAGGACACTTAGAAGCTTCAAACAACTTGGGGGGGGGGGTGTTTAGAGCTGTCTCTTGGTAAAATTCCATTTCTGCCCCATAAAACACTGTAGGATCAGGGTGGTGCTACAGCTAGCCTTAAGGTGCCTAAAAATACAGTTCATGTCTGAATATTTTTTTTAAAGAGAAAAAATTTGCCCCACAAACCAAAAAATCCTGGCTATGAACCTGTTGGGGAGAAAGTTGCTGTTGTTTCGCTGTCAAATTACATCCAACTTGTGGCAAACCCCGCAGGTGCTTTGTAAGGACCCTGGTCTCCCATCCAAATACTGACAAGGGCTGATCCTGCTAGGCTTCAGATAATGGGATATCCTGGGTTATCCAGGTCAGGGCATTGAGGAGAAAGGTAAAGGTAAAGCGTTCCCTTGCTCGAAAGCCAGTCGAGTCCGACTCTAGGGTTGCGGTGCTCATCTCCGTTTTAAAGCCGAAGAGCCAGCGCTGTCCGAAGACGTTTCCGTGGTCATGTGGCCGGCATGACTAAACACCAAGGCCCACGGAACGCTGTTACCTTCCCACCGAAGTGGTACCTATTTATCTACTTGCAATTTCTTGCTTTCGAACTGCTAGGTTGGCAGGAGCTGGAACTAGAGACGGGAGCTCACTCCGTCATGTGGCAACTCGGGTCTTGAACTGCTGGCTGGTGGGAGAAAGATAAGGCAAATGCACACTCCAGAGAGGAGGAGGAGGAGAAAAGAAGGATACCCGGTCCCATCACCTGCTGCCAATTTTTTGGCCATAGAGGGAGAATCACATATGGAGAATAGTGTGTTACAAAATTCTCTACATTTTATCTATCCAAGTTACTCAAGAATATGTTGTCGAAGGCTTTCACGGCCGGAGTTTATTAGCTGTTGTAGATTTTCCAGGCTGTATGTCCATGTTCTTGGCATTGTAGGACCTGACGTTTCGCCAGCCGCTGTGACTGGCATCCTCAGAGGTATAATACAGAAAGACGGAGTACACTCTCTGTCAAGGTGAGAAGAAAAATGGTAGGCAGGTAATTTATATCTACTCAGGAAGGTGGGGTAGGGCTGAGTCATTATCATGTAGGAATTCCCCAGGCTGTGACATGCTAATGGAGGAGCTTTCCTGAGGAGGTCCTTTTGCATATGGATTGGCTGTTTCCTGAGGAGGTTCTTTTGCATATGGATTGTTTCCTGAGGGGGTTTCCTGTTTCCTGCCCTACCCCACCTTCCTGAGTAGATATAAATTACCTGCCTACCATTTTTCTTCTCACCTTTACACAGAGAGTACTCTGTCTTTCTGTGTTATACCTCTGAGGATGCCAGTCATAGCTGCTGGCGAAACTTCAGGTCCTACAATGCCAAGACCACGGCCACACAGCCCGGAAAATCTACAACAACTAATTACTCAAGAATTATAATCTGTGCTGAGATTTTTTCAGGATTCTTCTCACCAGGTCAACAGCTGTTTCTTTCTTTTTTACAATGATAATTTCTTTCCTTTTTTACAGGCTCCTTGGTCCCTGGTCTTCTGGCTCACCTTTGAACAAATCAGAAGAATTACTGGAATTACTTCATTTTAAGAATGCGTAATGTAGCCTATGATTATCCAATAGGCTATTAAGCCTTCTACGGGACTTTGGTGTCAATACGGTTATTGTACTGGCGGCCAAAGACTATTCCAAATGAGTTCCTGATATTAGCCTAGTGCCAGATGCATCAAGGGGCAAATGAAAATAAAAAATGGAAGAGTAAATGGCACTAAATGTTGACTCTTTAAATGAATCGCCACTAAGCTACAAGGCACTGTGGAAGGATCCCGGATCACTGATCATTATGTGTGGAAAACAGTGAACTGTCATGAAGCAAGAACGGGGCATAAATAAAAGGATATTGTATGTAGAAGTACAGATGCAGGAATGGATCTTTCATTATCCACAGATCTCCCCAAAACTATCGGGAGGATTACTCAGTATTGGTTCAGAAGTCCAGCAATCCATGCATCATTCTCACACCATAACATCCGAAGAATGCCAGGCTCCAGGTGGGACTGGAATTAACAGCTCATCTCCAGACTACAGAGGTCACTTCCCCTGGAGAAAATGGATGGGTGTACATAAATAAATTCTCATGGCAGGTCCCATCAGGATAAAAGGGCTGTGTTAACACACACTCTTCGATTTGCCGGGACTAACTTGTGAAGGCAACTCGTGAACATATATTCTAGTTAAAATGAAGTGCTTGAATTTAAGGCAATTCACTTCAGTATTCTTAGCACTAATTTGTCTTAACTAATGTACAGTTTAAAACAACACGTGCTTACAGTGTTGTTTAGCAACAGGTCCAATTCTGTACAGTATTCAAAGCCAAAATGTGTTAATCTAATGTTTTTAACGACGTACATGTACTGATATTATAAAGGTAAAAGGTAAAGGTTCCCTTGCTCGAAAGCCAGTCGAATCCGACTCTAGGGTTGCGGTGCTCATCTCTGTTTCAAAGCCGAAGAGCCAGCGCTGTCCGAAGACGTTTCTGTGGTCATGTGGCCGGCATGACTAAACACCAAGGCGCACGGAACGCTGTTACCTTCCCACCGAAGTGGTCCCTATTTATCTACTTGCAATTTCTTGCTTTCGAACTGCTAGGTTGGCAGGAGCTGGAACTAGAGACGGGAACTTACTCCGTCATGCGGCACCCAGGTCTTGAACTGCTGAACTACCGACCTTCCACAGCCTGCAGTTCAGCAGTTCAGCGTCTTAACCACTGATATTATGCTCAGAAACAAATTGAGACATGTATGAAGACAGCAAGGCAAAACTAAATATCTAATCATAAATGATAATTGGAATGAAATACAACCCCCTACAAATTTTAACCTTAACAATGTCAACAAAGTACCTGGAAAGGTGGGGGTGGGGGTGAAAGTTAGAGATGCCAGCCTCCAGGTGGGACCTGGAGATCCACCCACCCACCCTGGAAAGACAGCTCCTCTCCAGACGACAGAGATCAGTTCCCCTGGAGAAGATGGATGCTTTGGAGGGTGGATCCTGTGGCATTGTACCCCCACTAAGTTCCCAGTCCTCCCCAGGCTCCATTCCCCAAGTCTCCCAACCTGGAGCTGGCAACACTACCCCCTCCCTGCCAGTGGCCGGGGGGGGGGATCTGGCAACCCTAGTGAAAGTTATTGAAAAGAAATAGCCCCTTATTGCTTTGGTGGTGGAGGAAAGTGCCATCAAATCAAGCTGCAGCCGACTTCTGGGAACTCTGTGGGGTTTTCAAGGCAAAAAGACTTTCAGAAGTGGTTGGCCACTGCCTGCCTCGACGTAGCAATGCTGGACTTCCCAGGAGGTCTCCCATCCAAATACTAACCAGGACTGACCCTGCTTAGTTTCCAAGATCGGACAAGTTCAGGCTAGCCTAAGCTATCCATGTCAGGGAAGTGCAGTCAGACAGTACCTCTGAAGCCACATTTAAGCATGCTTAAATCAGTTTCCCCCCCCCTCCTTTCTCATTTCAAATTCGAAACAAAAGTACGTTACATTAAAAGTACATTACATGAAATACGGATTTTCCCTTTCACATTAACCATGTTCACAAATGACACATTCCTGGTCAGGACAGCAAAAATGTTCACATTCTCAGAATCCAGCAGAGTTTTAAGGAACTAATCCTTCAAACAGCTGGGAAACATTTCAAACGTTAGGCATCACATTTTCAAATGTTGGCAAATTTCAAATGTCAGTCAATTTAAGGGGCCTGGTTTCCGTGTGTTCAAAACTCATTTTCGGTACATATGGCCTCTTTTCTTTTGGCAGAGCTCCAGGGCCTTTAAAAACCGCAGGACAGGAGTGCAGTCGTTTTGAGAGGCTGATCTTTCCCGATGTCATGCCTATTACTATTCTACAACATTTCCCAGTTCTGTACATTAGGCTATGTCCTGTATCGTTTTATGTCTCATATTTAATACTCATCCTTTGTTCATACCACAGGACCGTTTCAAATTTCTGCAGTTCCTAGTCCTATTAGATCATTTGTCAGACGTACTACCATCCTAATGATGGGTGGAGAGTGCCACCAAGTCACCGCTGACTTAACGGCGACCTCGTAAGGTTTTCATGGCAAGAGGTGGCAACACTACTAGAGGTGGTTTGCCACTGCCTGCCTCTGCATCATAACCCTGGTATAACCCTGGTATTCAGGGGTCATTTTGTAGAAAAAGAGGTGCAGGAGCTCATTAGCATAACTTATTAGCATAACGTTTGCATATGCCACACCCCCTGGCATCACCAGAAGTGTGTCAGAAGGCAACACCCACTGCTCAAGCTCCACTGGACTGTTTTGGATTGCTAGCTATTGGGGGGGTGGGGAAGTGCAGATCTGCCCTCACAGAGGAGGGAGAGCTTGTACCTGAATAAAACTTGGTCTTAAAGGTGCCACTGTTTTGGATTGCTAGCTTGGGGGGGGGACATGCAGATCTGTCCTCGCAGAGGAGGGAGAGCTTGTACCTGAATAAAACTTGGTCTTAAAGGTGCCACTGTTTTGGATTGCTAGCTTGGGGGGGGGACATGCAGATCTGTCCTCGCAGAGGAGGGAGAGCTTGTACCTGAATAAAACTTGGTCTTAAAGGTGCCACTGTTTTGGATTGCTAGCTGTGGGGGGGAGGGGAACGCGCTGATCTGCCCTCACAGAAGAGGGAGAGCTTGTACCTGAAGGCGGGGTGGGGGGGCTCTGCAACTTACCTGGCTGCTTCTTGCTCCTCGTGGCCTGACTGAGGGCTGCTGGGAGCAGGGGGCAGGGCTTGTTGCATGTGCCCGCCCCCTGGGCTCCTTACTGCCAGAGCTCCG